TATCCCAAATAATTCAATAAAAATGATCTTTAAATCAATATTTACTTGACTTTTCTTTGTTTTTCATAATTAAAATACTAATTTAAAAATTCTTTTTTATTTTAAAGTTTAGATTATATCATGTTTAACATGTTACTTTACTCCTAATACATGGGCGTCATCATGGTGGTATATTTATAAAAAAATATATATAATTATATATCAAATCTCATGTGTTCTTGTACCAATCCCATAATATTGCATTTCATTTTTTCTTTTTTAAAAAAAGCTACAGTCTTGCATAATTATGTTTAGACCACACCACAATATAATCATATCATTGTATTTTTAAAAAAAATTTATATTGCAATGTTTTTATATTTAAATATTATAAATTATAAAATCTTCAAAATTTATTACTTTGAACCAAATTATTAATTTTGTTATATAATTTCTTTATGTATTCTTTTCTAATTATTAACAATTAGCCGAAAGGGATATATATATTCATATATGTGTGTGTGTATATATATATATATATATATTAGTTGGCCACAGTTGGCTCTTTCCGTCTTCTTTACTTATTAGCTAGCTGGCTTAGACCGTTCGACATCCACTAATTTCCTTTTCAAAATTTAAATTATTTATAATTTGGACCTAAAACAATTTTATTTTCATTATTTTTCTCTCTCAAAAAATTAATTTTATTCTTTACAGGACACGCGACTTATGGAAATACCAAATTGGCCCCTCAATTTTTTAAGTTATTCTTTTTTTTTTTCAAGACTTTGACAACCTGTTAAGTGCCCAGATAGATTCTTGATTGACCCAAATAAGAACAAATAAAAGTGTTATTCTCCGTTATATTCTGAGACGTAATTATCGGAAATGCTGGGCCCAATTTTAAATAATCAACTTTTCCTTGCCTAAAATCAAAATAGAGAGAAGAAAAAGGACTCCACGGTAAAATTTCAAAACCCACAAATCTTATAACCACCGCCGTGTAGAAAAGAAAGTTTTTGAGTTTGATGGGACATGCAATTAATGAATTTCACTAGCCTTTTCCACCTTGTGTTCTTTTCCGCTCCTGTCTCCACCAAATTTACCAAATGAACCATATTATATATATATATATAGATATATACACCGTATAAAAATCTAATTCTACAAAATTACTGCCTTTTGAATTTGGAAATTTTAATTTCATTTGCACTAGAAAATTTTACCAACCAGGGTAAATGATTGCATCTTGTACATTATTAACTTAGCAATGAGAGTGTCTCTGTCATAAATAAAATAAAATTTAATTTACTTATGTACTTCTACTTATTTTAATTAGAAGAATGCAAAAGAGTTTGAGAAAATAATAAGATTTAGCACCTTAAAAATTTAAGTAAAACTAAAATAATAAACCATGAAAAAATTAATTATCTAATAAAACCCAAATTTAATTTATCTAATAAACCATGAAAATTCTAAATAAAAAATAAAAAATAAGATTACATACATTTCAAATCAAATTAAAATAACCCATTACAGATTTTCATATAAATGTTTAAATAATCAAAATATAATACATTTACATTCCAAGTACAAAAATTAAATTATAATACCAATAATAATCATAAGAATTTTCAGACTTATTTCAATGTCTTCCTCCTTATATGTATAAAAATTACAATAACACAGATAATACCAGCATTACCATCAAACATACATATAGAAAAAATATCAATTAATTCTGGAATATTAAAAAAAAAAAAAAAACTTGAAATAATAATTAAAGAGAATTAAAAAAAAACTGAGAATATTTATTTTAAAAAATAATAAAAATTATAAATCAACGTCTGCATCGAGTAATAGCACTGCACCCGCGAGTGTAGGGGTTGGCCTGACCTCCAGGGCCGGCAGTTGTAGTACGAGGCGCCTCGCCGGGAGCAAGGCACACTGTTTCTCCTAAGCGCACCGTAGCTTATGTACCTTGTGGTGGCTAAGATGCGCCGCGTGCTCTCCGAGGTCATCTGGAACTCGACCTCATCGTCGAACAGTTCGCCGCTGCCATTTCCGAAGCACTCTGCGATCGATCCGCTGCATCCCGATTGCATCGGGAAAAACCCCATCTGGTGATGGTCCCCGACGAATCCAACGACCGAAGATGACGCCGACAGAGACACGAGGACAGCGAGGATCGCGCAAATCAGCAGGACGGATGCGAAGGGTTTGTTTGAGGTTCCCATTTTCTTTCTCAGGTCTCTTCTCTTTCTTCCAAGTCTCTCACAGTTGAAGGAGAGAAACAGGTTAAGGCAGGTTTAGGGATTATAAGCGGAGCAGAATACAGAAACGCCACTGGGTTTGAGAGTTTATTATGAATTTGCCACTACCGAATTTACAATTTTGACATTGTGCGTGAACACTGAACAACTGGCTTTTGCTTGTAGCTGAAGATGTCAATCCATTCATGGGCGTGAATAAACTTTTTTGGAGATTTTACTTCTAAATTTGAAAATGTTAAAACTTTTATTAATACGAAAACGCGTTTCTAATTGTTACCAAATTTATAAAAATTAAATTCCAAATAATTCAAATTCCATAAATAAAATTGTACTTAAAAAAATGTTTTTATCCCGTAATTGCTCAATTTTTAGTTTAAGATAAAAAATTTAATTTCGATTTTCACTTTAAATAAAATTAATATATATTACGATATATGTAAAAAAAAAATTATACTTCGTCGAATAATTTATTTTGATGGGTTAAATATTTTAAAATATTTTTAACATAAAGCAAAATTGAATATTTAAAAAACAATAACTTATTTACAAATCTATTTAATTATTGATTGTATATGTTGTGGTTTTTCGTTTGGGTGTGAAAGAGGCATTTCAAACTCCAATTTGTAGATGGTGACAATCGCTACCACATATTTATTTGTAAAGAAACATGATGGTTATGTGAAGATAAAACGCGGCGTTTTATGTGATAAACATTGAACACATCTCAAATACTTGTTATATGTTTTATATTTTTTCTCTAACCATAGTATTTGCCTATTTTATGAAAATGACCCAAAAGAGAACAAACAAAAAGAAGATAAATGAGTGATGAGAAAATAGATTTTGAGGTGGTAAAATTTTGAAATTCGTTAAAATACATAAGGTTATCCACTATAATGATTGGTTCATTTTGGAGAAAAAAAAAAGTGTGTAACACTTAGATCCAGAATTTAGTTCGATATTGATTTTAATATTTTAAATATATAAAAAAATTATTTTAAAATTAATTTATTTTAATTTTTTGTTGAATTTGAGGAAAAAATAGGTTATTGATGAAATTGAAAATAATTTTGGAAAAAAATTGGTAAAAATTTGGGTTCGGGGGTATTTTTGAAAGAAAAATAAAAAACTGAGGGTCATAGTGCAAATAAAAAAAATTTTGCCACGTAGGACTGCCCAGTCGCGATCCCAACAAACTGGAGCATGGTCCGTAGCAAGGCAAGCTGACGTCGATGTCACGCAGGATGTCATGCGGGTGATCCGCGCGCCCCGCGATCGAATAGCCCAAGATCAATCCCGCGCGTGAGGATGACTCGGATTTGTTCATCCTTTAAACGCGATCGAACGGTTCAAATTCATTTATTCTTTAAACGCGATCGAATGATTTAGATCAAACGCGATGAACGGTCCATATTAACGCGAGATTAGTATAAATATTTCGTAACATACTGAACTCAAATCATAGCCATCACCCTCTATCTGGACAAGAAGAACCAGTCGCCTGAGAAGGGAGTTGACCGCCTACTGCCGCCACACCGGAGCCTCATTTGACTGCCAAAAAAGAAAAAAATTATTCGTTCTACTCGAAATTTAATTCCAAGCACCCCCATGACCAAATCGGAGAAAAGAAACGACGGGTGAGCCGGAAATCACGGGCAAAGTCTGGCAGCGTTACCGCGGGCAAAATCTGCAACCTCCTCCAATGAGCTCCTTTTCGTTTTCCGTTCCGTACGATTTTTCTACCGTTTTATTTTCTACAAGTTGATCGAAGAAAAACTCTCAGCCGCAAAGGTGAGCCGGTGAAGCCACCACACCCGAAAAACTCCACTGCCGGTAGGTTTCTGTTTTTTTATTTTTTTTTGCCCAACCGAGGCCTCCTAACGTGTTTTTTCGCAGTAATATGTATAAAATCAATCGAAACCACCCAAAATCGGCCAAAAACAGCTAGGCCGAAGTAAATTGTCGTCGCGTCCGGCGGTGCCGTCGCTAAAGCCGGCAGTGCCACCATGTCGAACTCCAAAATTGGCCAAAAATAATTTTTTACACCGATTTTGGATTCTTATGGTATTTTTAGGTACGTGACAAGTATTTTGAATTCTGCATAGATAATTCAGGAAACTCGAGAACTGCTAGTAGGCACAGTATAAACTTTAGTATTTCGAACATCGATTCAGATAAAGATCTCTCATCATTTTCTTTATTAAGTGAGTATTTTAGGATGACATTTACTAACTTTTAAAGGAAGTCCGGGTGGTGAATTATTCACAACCCTCTTGTTGATCGGGATCTAGATCTTGGTCATCTTGATCTAAAATAGTTAATGAAATAGTGAGCTATACTAGCTTAGTAAGAATATCACACTACTCACCGATACATAAACTGAAGGTTGGTAAAAATCATAAAAACAACCAATAGATCTCTTGATTTAAGTAAATTCATTTATCATATGAAAAACTATTTATTGCATATATTTACCGTTGCGAAATTTTCAAAATCGACCTATAGAGACAATAACTCAAATAACATTCTAATCTCATATTCAAATGAGTAAAAACAATAACTTTTCATTTTTATTTACCTACTGGTATTCTTGGGAGCCCATAGGGATGTCTCACTATGCGTGAACCGATATCTAATACTGTCAATTAACTAGTCGTCCTCATACCTCATCCGGTATGAGTGCCAAAAATACCATTTCTCGATACTCCGTCCGGTATGAAGCAATGTTCACGGTAGGGTTCCCTATGTATTTGGTCCGTTCATCATCTTTTAGGATATCCAGTAAAACTATCATTCATTAATTCACATGACCAAATAATTTTTCATTTGCACATTGATTTATAATTTCACAAATCAACCGTAAATAATGCAAGACAAATAATATATATATATCAATGAAGTACAATTGAATCATTTAACCATCTTAGTATATCATAATGTATTTAAAGCTGTAAATTCAACAATCAATTAAACATTATAAATAAATAACTAATCAGTTCTGGTTCCATTAGTAACCTCTAATTATTCTCAAAGTTTTCTAAATTACACAAAATATAATATTTTCGATTATTAAGCTTCAATTTCATAACAAAGAATAAAGTGAGAGGTTTTTATCCGAATCGGTATCCGAAACATCAAGCTTTATACTGCGCCTATTAGCGGTCCCTATATTTTTTGAATTTTCGTGCAGAGATTAAAATATACTTCACGTATCTAAAAATACATTAGGAATCCAAAATCGGTAAAAAAAAACTCATTCCAACCAATTTCGAAGTTCCGGCACGGCATCATCACCGTGCTCCAGCAACAGCACCACCGTTCGCGGTGGTGGTTGACCTCGATATGGCCATTTTTGGCCAGTTCTAGTCGGTTTTGGCCAATTTTATACATATCCCTGCGAAAAAATATGTTAGGGAGCCTCGATTAGTCCAAAAAAAAATCAAAAAATGGAAACTTACTGGTGGTAAAATTTTTCGGTGCAGCGGCTCCACCAGCTCACCTTCATGGCTGGACGTTTTTCTGCGGTCAACTTATAGAAAATAGAATGGTGAACACAACAATAAAAAAATTGCACGAAATGAAAAACGAGAAGGGGCTCGTCGAAGGCGGTTGCGGGTTTTGCTTGCGGTTTCTGGCTCACCCGTCATTCTTTTTACTTCGATTTGGCTATGGGGTTATTCGGAATCAAATTTCGAGCGGATAGGAGAATTTTTACCTTTTTTGGCGGTCGGATGTGGCTTCGGTGCGGCGGCGATCGGCGGTTGGCTCCCTTCTCAAGTGACTAGTTATTCTTCTTCGGCGGGAGCTGGCAAATAGAGTTTTGGTTTAGTGTGATGCGAAATATTTATATCCGTCTCGCGTTAATCTGAACCGTTCATCGTACTTCATGTCGACCATCCGATCACGTTTAAAGAGGAAATTAATCTAGATCGTTCATCGCGATTTGATCTCAACTGTCTAATCGCGTTTAAAGAGGGAACAAATTTAGAGCATTCATCGTGTTTGATTGCGACTGTCCGATCGTGCCTAATAAGGGAACGGATCTGGACCATCCACGCACGTGGGAACGCTTCTGGGTTGTCGGATCGTGAGGCACGCGAATCGCCAGCGTGGCCTCCTGCCTGGCACCAAGTCAGCGTGCCTTACGACGCGGCATGTTCCTATTCATCAAAGCTGCTGACTGGGCGGTCTTACGTAGCAAATATTTTTTAATTGCGTTCTGACTCCCAGTTTTCTATTTTTCTTTTAAAAACACTCACGAACCCAAATTTTCACATATTTTTCCTAAATCATCCCAAACTTATTTTTTTTTCATAAATCTAATAAAAATTAAAATAAATTAATTTTTTAAAATAATTTTTTTTATAGATTTAAGATATTAGAATTAATCCTGAACTAATTTCGAGCCTGAGTATTATATTTAATGTGCAGATGTAAAATAATAAAAGTATCACATGGACTTAAGTTAATATATGTCATATTTGTTGGGTCATTAGCCACGTCATATGCCACGTGTCCAATAACATGACATATAGCGTGACTAGTTTTAAAATATGAGAACATGTGAACTAGTCCTGTTTACTAAAAAAAGTTTGAATTAATTCTTTTAATCTTAAATTTCCAAAGTTAAATCATCTCTCTCTAACATCCTCCTCATTTCTTTCTCTGTATCCCTTCTCCATTAGGACAAACTAGTCGCACCCCTCTATAATGTGACTACCAATCCCCACCCTAGTGTTATATTCTTCACCACTGCTAGCTTTATGAAACAACATATATTGAACTGTGATTTTATAAAAGAATCACAGGTGGGCACATAAAAGATGAAGAAGCTATTGCGAAGGTTGAAACTAATAAGATTTCCATATGAAGATGGGAAAAATTTCAATGAGCAACGTTAGGGTTTCCTTTGGAAAGGATTTTTAAAAAATAAGAGATAAAGGTTCTAATAAATGAGGGAACAAAGAAAACTTGAGGAGAAAATTTAAAATGATTTCTTTTTATGCAAAGGCATTAGAGTATAATTCTCATAGTTTCTTACAGAAAGTAGAGAAATTGAAAGTTTTAAGGGTGAAAGTTCATTCATTTGGATTTTTTTAATTGGATTTTGAGGGGTAATAGAAGAGAGAATTTCATTGATAATAGTAAATTAAGTAATTACAGTAGATAAGAAGACTCTGCTGATGTATTTAAAATAGTTAGCATATTAAAATTGTTTGTCACTGTTCATAAATAAATAAATTAATTATAATTTGTTCTTCTCAAGGTACAAAAAACGTCTTAAGAGTTACTTAGTGAGGATTTATAAACACATCATGGAGGGGTGTTGCTAGTTCAAGTTGGTAGGGTGAAAGAGAGAGAGATTACGAGGATAAGAGAGAGGGTGATGGTTGAATTTTTAGAATTTTGGATTAAAAGAACATATTCAAACTAGTTTTTGTTGAATCGGACTTATTCATAGACTCTTAAATTTTAGAACTTGTCATCGTAATCGAATTAAAATATACTAAATTTAGGCTACACTTCCACCAATAACAATGTACATTAAGGATTAAAATTTTCATATCAATTTCATAAAGTTATAGTACAAACTAAACTTGATATTAAAATTGTTTATAAATAATAAATAGATAAAAACTCATCTACTTGCTAAATTTATATTCTCTTATAGTAATTTCCAGGAGTGGTAATACTTTATCGTTAAATTTAATTATTTATTAATGTAATCCTTTGATTAAAGTAACTTACTTTTTAAAAGTAGTTTGCTTCTTTAAATTTTTAAACACATCTAAAAAAAAATCAAACTATTCTTTATGAAAATATTCAATTTTTTTTTAATCTTCAAGAACAATAAAAAAGAAAAGACATGGAAATCCATGTTTGTCAAAAGTGCTTAGGAAATCCATGTTTGTCAAAAGTGCTTATTATCTACCCGACCAGCAATCTAACCTTCAATCATGAGAACAAGTTGAAGCTTATTTTATGTGTGTGTGTGTATATATATATACATACATCTCGTTTTCATTTCTTTTTAAGTATTTTTGATTGGAAGATTTTTTTGTAAGTTTGAGTACCAATTTATATATTTTAATAATTAAGTAATAAATAAAAATCAATCATAATATAGTTATAAAAACACATCAAATACACGATATATGTCTATTAATTCGATAAAAGATATTAACGTTCAAAAAAAAAAATAAAAAAAAAATCAAAACAAAGACTAATCATACAGAGAGTATCAAACCCCATATCCAAGCATTATTTCCCTCACAATACAAACAATCTCTTCTTCTATGCTTTTGATCTGGTTTTGGAAGGCTCCCGGCAGTTTTCGCACATAATTTGTTATCGTCTCCGGTGCCCATTATCGTCACTCGAGCTGCATTCTTCTTTCCGATTTCTGGTGCCTCTATTTTCTCGTCTTCTCCTTTCTTGCTTTCTTCGGTAATCACTGTTTTACAAAGGATTAAGATTTGTTATTATTGTAAAACTGATATTATTCACTTACTAATTATAATTAACTAGATATGCAGATTACAAATTGAATACATCAGATCATTATGGTAGCAGACCCAATTAGTTTAAATAGTAACTAAACATGTAATCTATATTTTTGGCTTATTAAATATTACAAATTTTAACATAAAAAATCATATTGCTTTTGGTTTAAAATCGAATAAGGAACTGTAAAATTAATAAATAATTCGTATTGTAAATAAATTTGACGAATCAATAAACGATTGAAACTTACCAACATTATCAGTAACATTCATCTCATCCTTCTTCGTCAACATTATGGTGTTCTCTATTTTCTTGCTGCAGTTTCCAAGTTCTCGATTTTGATTTTCGATATCAGTATATCTATCCACGAAAATTTCTTTTACGAGTTTGAAAATTTTTGTCATCTCTTATTTTTTCGGGATCGAGTAGCTGATCGATCAAAGAATTTGATAGTCGCTAAACTGATAGTGAAAAGTTTTAGAGTGAATAATAAAATTTCAGAACTTGTTTTATGGATAAGCTTAAAATTGCAATGGTATAAACTATTATAAGAGAAATAAAGTATTTATAGAAGAGTAATTTTCCTAATTTGATTTCAAAAATCCTCAATGGATATTGATTTCCTATTCTATTTTTTTAGGATGACTAATTTCCTATTCTGTAGGCTCTTAGTTTTTTTTTTTTTTCCTTTTATTTATGTTTATGATTTTTTAATTGTTATTTTACGACACTTTGAAATTATTTTTTTAAGTTTGTTTTTTTTTGTTAGATAAGATAATTTTTCTTGGTTTAATTTTTTATTTTTTAATTTATATTTTACATAAATTATTTAATTCAGCTTCTTTATAAAAGAATTGAAAGTGAGATTGCTGTAGAAATTGGATTAATATGTATATAAAGTTTAAACCATAAGTTTACTAGCATGGATTCATTTAGTGATGGGCCAAGAATTTGAGGCCTAATTATGAACTGAGATTGGAAAAATGATGGTCCGATTTATAATCAACATTGGATCTGATCTGAGTTTATTTCGAGACCAATACACGGTGCCAGTGAAAGCTTGTGTTTGGAGAAGCTCAACCAAACGCATATCCTCCTCACTTTTAAATTTAAAGTAAGATTTTTAAGCATATATTATATTTAACACGTTAAATAAATTTGATTAAAGAGTAATATTGACTCATTGAAATTAACCTAAAACATGAAAAAATAATAATACAAAAAATTAATAGTATTTAAAATATTTTTATCCTTTAGTTTTTCGTTTTTGGCTCGATGCATATGTTGTAAATCTATAACTAAATTTATTTTTTGAGATGATCAATAAATAATAATTTTTATACTAAATTCGGATTATTGTTATTCTTTTTATAATTACTTTTTCTTTTTTTTTTAATTATTAAAGATGATGTATTTATTAACAATTAGTTTGTTGATGGTTGAAATTTTATATTTATTATTATTATTTTTATTATGGTTAATATTATATTTTAGAATCAATAATAATTAATAATTTTTAATGCTAAGATTTTTAGATTTTTTTTTTTGTTTTTATCATTATTTTTTCTATTTTAATTGTGAAAATTGATGCATTAAAAATGATAATTTTTAAATAAATAAATTATATTAAATTTTAAAAATATTATAATTAAATATTATTCATGGACAGTTCTTACCTTCGATATTTTATGAAATTTTTATAAATTTTACATTTGATATCTTATTTTATATATTGTACTTATGTGTTAATTTACAGAAATAAAAAACTATGATTTTATGAATCAGCCAAACATTTCAGCTGAGATCAACCGTTTAAAATTGAGTGACACAACTTTGGTAAACCCTTAGAAGTCCAACCTCCAACGGCATCCTTATGAGATTAGTGGATTGTTGCTTATCTATCATAAGATTCCCACCCACCAAAACGGACGATCCACGATCGAACTAATCCAACGGCTCATATTACATCAACCACTCGACCTATTTTTATTCTCCCAAAAAAAATGCACACGTCAGTATTTGTACCAAAATTCACTGTGAGCTTGAATTCCAAAACCACAAACAACGACAAAACGCGTGATAATGCACGTGTTCTCCCATCAACAGATTCCTTAAATCTCTATTTTGAATATAAAACACCCGTAAAATTCACACCCTCATATAAATACCAACGCTACCACTGTCTTTATGCTGCATCTTTGGCGGCTCTAGGTTCTCTCTTCACTTGGCGCCTCTGCCTCTCCGCAGAAACCCTAACCCTCTGCACTATACATACTTACACACACAAACAGCTACTGTATAACTTCTGTGTTTATACGCATTCGATAATGGAGGTTTCAATTAGGCAAAAGAACAACCAACAAGAGTTCACTCTGGCTGCAATTTCTGAGCTCGCTTCTACTTCTCCTTCTTCGGTTTCATCCTCCTCTTCTTCTCTTTCTCATTCTCTTCCAGTTATAGCCAGGTTTGATATCGATGATGGAGTTGCGGAACTTCGTTTTCGCCAGGAATCTGAGTCGGTTGCTGAATTCCTTATCGATATTAGAACCGCTCAGGTTAGTGTGGATTTTTGTGCATTTTCATATTTTCATTCATTTGCTCTTTTGATTTTGGTGCTGGAATGGTTTTGGTGTATAGCGTTTATTCGGTTGCTGAGAAATGGACGGGATATTGACCAAGTTCAAATGTTTTTCTCTTTTATGATTTTGAAATTTGAACTGAATGAATGGAATAATTTCCGTATCTATCTTTTGGAGGATTTTGAATATGTAGTGGAAAAATTATTTTCTTTATTCTAGATTCTCTGGCATTGGTTAGGGGCATATTTTTAGCGTTTCTTTTTTTGTTTTAGAGTATTTTCAGTTTTGATTCTTTTGCTCGCGTGCACGTATCCATTTCATATTTTTTATTCTCTACCTCTTTTCGAGTCTGGTGCTGGAATGGTTTTAGTGTATAGTGGTTATTTGGTTGCTGAGAAAGTGGAGGGATATTGGATAGCGTTTCTTCAGTCGCATAGAAAGTGGACGGGCTATTAACCGAGTTCAAGTGTTTTTCTCGTTTAAGATTTTGAAATTTGAACTGAATGCATGGAATAATTGCCGTATCTATCTTTTGGAGGATTTTGAATATGTAGTGGAAAAAAATTAGTTTCTTTATTCTAGATTCTCTGGCACTGGTTAGGGGCATATTGTTAGCGTTTCTTTTTTGCTATAGAATATTTTCAGTTTTGACTCTTTTGCGCGTTGCCATTTCAGATTTTTATTTGTTTTTTCTTTTTTGACTTTGGTGCTGGAATGGTTTTAGGTGTATAATGTTTATTTGGTTGCTGAGGAAGTGGAGGGAATATTTGCCAAGTTCAAATGTTCTTCTATTTTAAGATTTTGAAATTTGAACTGAATGAATGGAATAATTTTTATGTTTATCTTTTGGAGGATTTGAATATTGTATTGGAAAAATGATTATCTTCATTCTACATTACCTGGTGTCAGTTAGGGACGTTGTTAGCAGTTCTTTTTTGCTTTAGAGTGTTTTCATTTTTAACTATTTTGCGCACGTGCATGTACACATTTATGATTACCTTAAAGGGAAAATGAGATTCCTTGCTGCTTGTGTTAATGAACACATTTTTCCTTTTCAGTCTGTTCTATTTTTCAAGTGGCAAGTTTCTCCATGGAGTAAATTTTGTAATTCCTGATTGATCTAAAAAGTTCTGTAGTAATTTGTTTGTTTGTGATTGCATTATTCAGCTATTCAAGTTAGGACCTATTCAATCGGTGTGCATATCTGAAGCATCCAGTTCAGATAAAGAGGTATAAGATGAATTTCGACTTGAAAACTTATGTCTTTTGCTTTCCCCTCTATCTACATGTTTGGAAGCTGGGCAAGAGGGTAGACTGGTAGTTAATTTTCCTTCTTGGATTACTTTTAGTTTGTTTGTTTGGTGTTTATCTGTTGTCCAAATAATTTACCTTGGATAAATGGTGCCCTAAGAGTTTAGTACAAGGGTGGTGAAATTGCAGTTCCCTGGCAAATTTATACAGCAACTGACATACTGCAATCATTTCTTCCAGAATGCTTTATTGCTTTGCACCACCATTCATGATATGTAAAATAGGGTTATATAATGTAAAGATTGCCAGATGTTACATATTTTGACAGCATGACTTTTGAACCAGAAATCATATTCAAGAGGAGTCACAATCCAATTTAGAAATGAGGAGGAGAGCAGGGCTTTCCATTGGGCATTCGAGCAATCGAAGAACGAAGTCGTTGTTCAAGGTGCTACTTGGAAATCTGCTCATGATTTGTTTTAAGAAGTTTATGTTTAGTTTTTTCATGCAAAATTGGATATTGGAAACATCCTTTTCTTATTGTTTTCTAAACATTTTTTTCTTCCTTGAGTTATTGTCTTATGACAATTATCCTTTACTGGTATTCTGGTTAATCTTCTTGCTTGGATTAGGATTCTCCTGTTTCACATGTATTATTTTATATATTGAAGTCATGGATGCAATCATTGAACTCAAATATCTTTACCAACTAGCATATGCCTTTTGCTGTCACTTGCAATAAATTGTTTTTTTCCTGGTGTTGATTTTCTTAGGAAAATCAAGGAGTACAAAAAATTGTCTTAAAAACAGAACAAAATAATGTGCGAAGCATTCCTTAGTGTTGTTATTGAGGGGAGAAAGCTTATATTATTATTGTGTGATTGAATGAGATGTAAGTGAGGGAGTTCTCTTGTCTATATCTAAGTTTGGTCTGTCCATTTCTTAATGCAATTGAAGATTTCAGAATGTGTCAGAAGTGGCAAGTCCCAGAAAGGAATCCATTTAACTTATCTAGGGCGTGATCTAAAAGTTGGCATTAAAAAAATGTTGAAATTTGGCTTACTTTAACCTTATTTGGCTGTTGAAAGTTTGAAACAGATCCTGATATCTTTGGGTTTAAAGTTTCCAAATTTTTTCTTAGAAAAGATGAAGAATTGTGCATTTTCATTGAATAAGATATGCAAATGCCAAAAGAGAAAAAGAAGGAAAAAAATAGAATTTCATCCAGGCTTTTCTTTTTATATTCCACTTCTTGTCTATGAGTCCTTTAAATAATGTGCTAATCACGTTCCCCTAATTCTATCTTTACTTGTATTTGTTCGGTTGTTTCCCATCAGCACCATGCTTACCAAATGGAGAGCTTTCAGCGGCTAAGAGCAAGTTCGATGACAAAATAGAGGCATCCTCTGCTAAAATGTATTTCCATTATTATGGGCAGCTGCTACATCAGCAAAATATGCTACAGGACTATGTGAGAACAGGTTATATCACTGAGCTACAGTTTCTTGCTAACTTCAATTCCTAGACATTTAGGTCAGTTGTTTTTTTTTTCCTTTTTTTTCTTCTTGAGGAGAAAAGTAAATATAGATAGAGTCACCAAGGGAGTGCAACTGAAAACAAAAGGTTTGCACAAAGTTTGAAGCTGATGTGTTGGGGTGGATAACTGTATTTATGTACTCATAAGTGCCAGGGCCCTGGACTATCAATTTTTCTTAAAGACATGTGTTCTCTATTTATCTCTCAGGCACCTATTATGCAGCGGTCATTGAGAACCGTGCTGATTTTACTGGCCGCGTTGTGGTGGATGTTGGTGCTGGTAGTGGTATTTTGTCATTATTTGCTGCACAGGTATGTTTTACTTTTTTGCCAGAAGTTAATCTTGCCATGTGAACTACTTCCAGTCTCGCATATTTATAACGCCTTCCTTTTCTCCTTCACTTAGGCTGGTGCTAAGCATGTATATGCTGTGGAAGCATCTGAAATGGCAGAATATGCTCGCAAACTGATTGCTGGCAATCCATTGCTTGGCCAACGGATTACAGTGAGATATTTTTTCTTGCAATTAACTTCTTGCAAATGTCTTTGTCCAGTTTTTCATTTTATTCAGGTTCTTTCTTGTGTAATCCGTAGGTAATCAAAGGAAAAGTAGAAGAAATTGAATTGCCTGAGAAAGCAGATATCCTGATCTCTGAACCAATGGGTATGTATGTTTATGCATTAATCATACTTGCATAGCAGATGATGCAAAACAATGTACTTTTATTGCAGTCATTTCTCTTTGGCTCATATTTAGGGATGGTTCAAAGTTTTGTTTTGGTGTCTCTTTGTCAGCTGGTGAATAAAATGTTTGATAGTAGATTTTTATTGAATAATCATATGCTGTTCGCAGATTTAATAATTTAAGTCCACTGAAGGATATCTGATTAGATCGTGTGTTGTTTGCAGGCACCTTATTGGTCAACGAAAGAATGTTAGAGTCCTATGTGATTGCTAGAGATCGCTTTCTTGTCCCTAATGGAAAAATGTTTCCAACAATTGGAAGGTAACCGGTCCTCAAAATGCTAGTTCCTTTTTTTTTTTTATTTAAATAATTTAAACATTTCTATTTGCAAACCGTGCTGATGCATTCATGGTGGAAATGATCTATTTGATTGATTCTGTCATAATTTGTACATTAATATCTGTCAAAATTTGTACATTTGATTGATTCCGGTGTTTTGAGTTTTTTGTCTGTAATATGCTTAAGTGAGTAAATTACATGGTAACGCTATCATGCCTGCTCATTTCATATATCGTATTGGTCTGCATGCTTGATTTCTTGTCTTTATCTTCAATTTGGATGTATGATACCAATCGTCTGACTTACATGTGTATGTTTTGTCATGGCACCTTTCATGCCATGATGATTATGCCCAGCAATGAAATTCTTCCGAGATTTTCAGTATTCTTTAGATGCTATGACCATGCTATTTTACTAATTGTTGAAATATGTAATATACCCTTCAAATCCTCTAATAACTTGCTTTTCGTGTATGGCCTCTTTGCTCATTCTATCATATTGTTAATGTATGTAAATCTATCATATTGTTAAATATCTTCACTGTATCTAGAAGCTAGTTAAGATTTTCCATTTAACTTATGTTTGAATCTTGTAGGATTCATATGGCACCTTTCAGTGATGAATATTTGTTTGTAGAAATTGCAAATAAGGTATGTAAATGTCTAACTTGTACAGATTTGGTGGTGAACCCATATATGATTCAGGGTGATTCAGAGCGGTTGAGATAATTAACATTAGCAATTTTACTTTCTTTTTTGGTGTAGGCCCTCTTTTGGCAGCAACAAAATTATTATGGAGTTGATCTGACACCCTTACATGGATCTGCATTTGGTGGATACTTTTCTCAGGTCTGTTTTATTTGCACATAGCTCAACATTAGAGTTAAATAGATTTCGATTCCATTTGGATTCTGTCTTGGGCATGTCCAAAATACCAAAGTTGTGTGCTGTTAAGCTTTTAAATAAAATTGTTCTTCTCCTGGTATTGTCTTTCTGGTGAAACCTTATGGAAGTCACTACCTTAACCTACTGAACAATGGCTCGACTAGAGATTTGTTGAATCATGTGGTAGTTAGATTAAATTCTGGAGCTAAGAAACAATTTATCTTTTATAAACTTATTTTTTCCCGGTTGATAGAGAGTTTAAGTAGTCTTCACGGCATTTCTACTTGAACTTAGACCAAGCTTGACTATAACCTGATGTGGCTTGTAGTGTGGTCATGCTGTAGGATTTTTCAGCCTCCGGAGTCTGGCAGGTGGAGCATTTTACATAATGTGAAGTTAATATTAATTCTTACTGATTTATGAACTAAAAAATAAACACATGGAGGAACTGCCAGAAGGAGAATCTGAAAAAACAGAATTCTGCGGGAATTGCATGATTGACTTCTAAAAGAAAACTTATGTAACAGATTGAGTTGGCAGTGGTGTGTCCTCCCTCTTCTATGTATGCCTCATTCACCCATTGATCTCCGTTACATTTCCTGACTTCATATCGTCCTCTCTTTTGGTGAGACTAAATTTGTGTTTAGAATATAATAACCCTTTTAGTTGATAATTTGATTTGATTTGAATGGCAGTTGGTAATGGGTTTATTTATATTTCTTCTTGAGGCATGGCAAAATTGGAGTTAATAAAAGATCTAGGGTCCTTTATTGTTATTAAAAGTTGTTCATTTTTAAGTCAGGTATTTTATTGTGTGCTTATATTATTTTAGAAAACCTACATATTTTGGTCCTAATTGTTTTATGATTCTATTCCTTTGTAGTTAAGGTTACTTTTGTAGCATTCCTACTAGGACTATCCAGTTTAAGATTTTATACTATAGAAAAGAGAGGCTTAGGATTGAACTAATGGTAAACAATTCATTTATTGTTATGTAGGTTTTCTGATTTAAGTTAGGTTTTTTTACTGTACGTCATATCTTTTTAGCATTCTATTGCCTTTTAGTTTAAGATTACTTTTCTAGATTTCCTAGAACTGGTACTTAAGATGTTTAAGATTCCATACTTTATAATAGAAGAGGCTTAGTATTGTATTATCAGTTCTCCAGCTTTATGAATTCTTCGGAGTGATTATTCCCTTTAGTTTCCCAGTGTGTCACTTGATTATACAGCCTACCATACCTGTTTTCTCTCACAGATAGTCTACTCTTTCAGCATCTCACTTCTTTCAAGGATTTCCTTAATTGGATATGGTTTTTCTTTATTGGTTAGTTTCCAAGTTTTTGAAAACACAGTTATATGATGTCAGGTTCAGGTTCAGGTTCAGGTTCGTTAGACTTCTACTCGGGTAAGAATTAGAATTTAGGAGATAGAGAAGGAGAAGAAGCAAGCAGAAGAGAGAAAGAGAGAAAGAGAGAAAGAGAGAACAGAGAAATAGATTAAGAGAATGATCGGGAAACCCTCGATTCACTGCTGATTGGAATTCAGAAAATACACTGTTTTTCTATGATGTCCATTGTCAGATTACATTCCCCTTTTTAATATCCTTCTGAGAGAGGGGAGATCATGGCAAAAAGAAAATCCAGAAAATGTCTTTAGCAGAAATAGTATAATACCAAAGAACAATGCTATAACTAATCTAGGAATCTAATAACTAATCAATGATTTGCTAGGATTACTTAGGCTGGATGCTGACCTGTTACAACTCCAGAGGGGAGAGCCCCTCAGGTACACCTTCAGCAGCTTCCCTTGCTTTTCGACTGAGGTTTTCTGGAGGGGGGGACTGCTGGAAATTCTTCAGTTCCTACATATGACTTCTGCTCGTAAAACTTGTGGGTTTTGAATTTGTGGATCACTGTTATTAAGTTTTTGTTGTTTTTGCTGTTCCACATTGTAAATACGTTTGTATCAGAAGGAAGACAGAGGTGTGTCTTGGTGCAGTGTACATGCATCTAACATTTAACTGCTGCTCTGTCAAACTCTATGGTTATTATACTCAATAAGTTTTCCTGCTTTTGAATGGACCAACGTACTTTTTACAGCCTGTGGTGGATGCTTTTGATCCGAGATTATTGGTGGCACCTGCAATGTTCCATTTAATAGACTTCACACAAATAAAGGTTTGAACAAGCCCTTGAACTCTTTTGATTTTTATAAGTGTAGGAAAATTTCCCATCTCAATGAAGAAAACTCTTTCAACTATGTTTTAAAAGTATGAGACATGCTAGGTTTGCATTTTTTTGTTATGTTCGATAATCTAAAATTTGGAAGCTTGTTGTTAATATGGTACCAGATATTGCTTCTGATTTTTGGGAAAAAATGTAGGTGCTAGACATTTTAAAAGCTGATGAACTCTTTGAAACCCAACGCAAAACTTGAAACGTGATAACTTGAATTGGCTAATAAAGTTGATAACCTGAAATAAACTATATCCAAACAACTTGGGTTCAAAAATAACTGAAAACCTGATTAGTGCAATCTAACTGAGCCAACACTTGAATCATCTTGGCTTATCTTGACTGAATAAATTTTAAGAACCCAAGTCCCAAGTAACTTATAGCTGAAATAAATAAAATGGCCAAACATCTCAAGTTCTAAGATAACTGAAAACATTTATAGTTTGATGCCCGAATGACTTACAAGCTATGATAGTCTGAACCTTAAAAATTAACTGAGACCCAAATGATCTAAACTCCAAAAAGCCTGAAACGTATAATCAAACTATAAGAGTGAACCTAAAATTCATCCAGAACTTGATACCCTAAACTTGAGTTCCACAAAACCTGAATTATAAATACAGATAAAATAATTCATAAAAGCCAATGTTTGGAAAAACTCAAAACCTGATCAACAAGAAATCTGTATGACTTGAAAATTGGATTCTAATCGGAATGGCCTTGGACCAGAAATCCAAGTGGCATGAAAATTAGATGTCAATTACGATGACCGTAAACCTAAAAGTAGTCGACTCAAAACATTCCCCAGGATACTTGATTGCCATTTTTGTTATGGCAGTTGTTCACTATATCTTGTTGCTGGACACTTTATTTGGGTTCTTTGTGGTGATATGGTAGTGATGCATTTTTTTTTTAAATTTCATTCTTGCAGGAAGAAGATTTATATGAAATTGATATTCCCTTAAAATTCATAGCTTCTGTAGGCACAAGAGTGCATGGTTTGGCTTGCTGGTTTGACGTTTTGTTTAATGGAAGGTAACTGTTTGAACCTGAGCCATCAATCTTTTTGCTAACAGACATTTTCTCTTGTTTGGCATTGTAAACTGAATGCTTTCATGTGCTATCTCATTTTCAATATCTTGGATCAATTTGATCCAACTTCTGACAAACTGCTTTGTTCGTCAGTACTGTACCGAGGTGGCTTACGACTGCCCCTGGTGCACCTACAACACACTGGTACCAGATACGATGTGTTCTGTCTCAGCCTATTTATGTCATGGCTGGGCAAGAGATTACAGGTCGACTCCACATGGTTGCTCACAGTGCTCAGAGTTACACCATTTATTTGACACTATCAGGTTTGTGGTGTCAATACTAACAACCTCTTTCAGATGTGCTTCTATGGTTTTTTTTTCTGTTTTTTTTTTTATGAGAAGATAAAAGATGCTTCTATGGTTTATAATGTTTTCTATATAAACTTTCATAGCGAAAATGTGGGGCCCTGGTGCTGAGCAAGGAGGAATACTTCAGACGTCATCGTGCAAACTTGATCTGAAAGAACCATATTATAGAATGTCCCAGCCACAAGCATATGCCACTCCACAAGATCAGCAAACACAACAGCTAATAAACCCACAGGTATTACCTTATCATTGTTTGATTTATTATAGCTTTGTAAGAGACCATATAAATAGGGCCATTACCGTTAAAGGTGCAACCTCCTTTTCATTTGTATTTTTTAAATTTCGGTTTCTTCTCGAAGAGAATATTTGTCTTCCTTACTGGGATTTTCTTTATAAATTCAAGCACGAGCATTGCATATAAAAATGATCATGCTGTTGTAGATCCAGAAGTGATCAAGCTAAGAAGCATAAATACATTAGCCATTACGAGTTTGGCTGGGAACTACTTGGCAATTGAAAATTCAAATGCTATTGCATTTATTTTGAAGGGATGTTGGAAGAATTGGTAGCATTCTTAAAAATTAGCTTCTGATATTAAGAGGTAAAATAGGAGTCACTATCAGTGCAGGGATACATACCTCTCGTGAGCATTCTGCTGAATTTCCAGTTTCATTGAATTTAGCTCTATTTTAGTTTAAGAGTGTACAAGACCAAACCAGTTGGTCCTAACTACTAGTTGGAACAATCTACTGTTGTTGGCATTCTGACACTAAAAACCTACTTGATTTCACCTTTAAGCAGGATATACAAATTCATGCGGAAGACTTTGATGAACCTGAGTTATTGCAGCAACCATCACAAAATTCAGGTGCTCAGTTTCAATAATTTTGTTGCAGGAGTGTTTCTCTCTCTAAAAACTTCACAACAAGAATTCCTAACATAGGGGTATTATTTCAGATTGAATTCCTTCCAGGTGGAAGGTTTTCTGCGTGCGTCCCTTTGGTCAATGTAACCCCCTCCTGGTACTCTTTCTGGTCACTGTATATTAGATCAATATGATTTGAAATTTTATTGCCCGGGTGGTTGTATGATGGTTTCCTGTATATTTTTGTTCTTGCTGTGATTTGACTAGTTTAAATAATCAAATATAGATTAGTGCCAGAAATTAAGATTCCATTTGATATATCCAAGTTGGTAAAAAATGATAAATGAGTAGGAAGTTTTAAAAAACACAAAAAATGCATTTCTTGTTTTGTTAAATAGTTTTATCTATAGTTAGTCTAATAAAAAATACACTACCAATATTTTCTCAAGAAATGCTTTTATGCAAAAATTTAGGAAATAAAATTAGAAAGCGTGTTTATGTGCCAAATAAAGTCTAAAGCATATGCTATCTTCTCTTTTAATTGTGGAGAGGATAAAATGCCTGACATGTCTCGTATGGTTTGTCAAATGTTTCAAAAAGTAGATGCAAAAAGTGTAAAATGGGGTAAGTGGGAATGGAGCCTAAGATGAACTAATTACTTATATTTTCCCGTCTTACATAAGCAGAGGAGATTATAGATAATTATGAGTTGGTTACCTGCTGTGTCAAATGTCAAATGTTTCTACACCTTGGAATAAATTCGTGGGAAAAAATTTTCATCTATTTGGATAGTGAAGAAAGTAGAGGGAGATTTTAACATGCTCTGTACCTGTCTCATCTGATTTTGCTATCGCAGTTTTGGGCTCGCATGTCAATTTCATTTTACGGTATTTAGTATATTATAATAATGATAAAAATTTGCGTAGGTAATCTTTATTAAGTGCTTTTTTTTGTAATTTTTTAATATCTATAACTCAATTTCGTAAAAATATAAAAGAAGTTGATTTAGTTATACTCTAACTGCGTAAATTATGGATAGTTTTTATTTGTTCAGTTATTTAAATTTATGGATTGAATGCGGATATAATAGGTTGAATTAAAAAGAGCTTTTTTTAATATATTTAATTTATTAGTAATGAACAGTGTTCATTCGTCAACGGGGTTTAAAAAGAGTTTCTCTTCCCCGAGTTCTCTTTTAAATCCATCTAACGATTATTTGCACATATAAAATATAAGTTGCTCCAAACTAATTTGTATAAATCCATTCCTTTCTTTTATCTTTCTCGTTTATATACAAAATATATTTATATATATATGTTTGAAATTTAAGCATATATGTAGGTGTAGGTTTATATGATTTTAAAATTATATTCATTTTACCATTATTGTCTACATCTCTCTCGTTCCATATATACAAACAACTTCAAATATATATTATTGTCATTTAAATATACGGAGTTGTGGTTTTATATTTATTTTAAACTATAATCTTTATTTTTTCCTATCAAGTCTAGATTTCTGTTGTGGATTAACTTGTTTAAGAATGAAATATATATTTAACTACATTTTAATTGATAATATAGTATTTTAAATTTAGCATGAGGGATGTGTAAGTATCGATGAGATTTACTGACAGGCATAATTATTGAAATTTGAAACTGTTAGTTTCTGTTTGGTGGAGTGTGTTATCGACGATCTTTATGTACCAAACCTAGAAAAAACTTAAATATCATCCATAGATTTATAAGTGAAGGTTTTAAATTAGATCCTCCATCAATCACATTACACTCCACACAATTTTCTACCGTTAGTCTACCGCTAATCGCTACTTTATTTTAATTCTTGTAGTTAGTCGATTATTGTCCATGAGTTCTTGAATTTTCTTTTTTCATAACTCTCATAGGAGGGGCTCTAATCCAGTCATATAAGGCATTCCATCCGATGCATATGAAATTCATCAAGAGCTCACTCAACAAAACCTAAACTTGGTAATGGAAACCTCAACATGAGAATGGAAACTTGGTAATATTGACATGCTTTACGAATTTCACATCCCTTTTTGTAGCAATAAATCTCGAGCTGTGATCTGTAAAAGAGATTAAGAAACGCAGTGGCACAATGAAAACCTTGTTCCTTCCGCAGATTCTGGAATTTTTAAGTATTATTGTTTAGATTTGTACAAAAATCGCTTCAAATTGTACGGTCTTTATTCGTATAAATTAAAAAATTTCACTTTGTTTTTAATAATTGGGATATGTATATAGTTAATTGGCAGTTGATGCGGAATTCTTTTGAGACTTTAAATTAATTTATCCCTGACAAAAATGGATATATAGGAGCTCAGTCGGTATTGAGTTGTACTGCCTTATCGAGGCCTCTCTGTATCAACTTGGATTCGAACGGTCTCAGCTCACTGCTGCAACAGCAGGAAGTGGTTCAATAGCAACAACCTTGTAGCAACGACTGCAAAGAGTTGGGTGGTCCTGGAAAGATCCAACCTGAAACGAATAATTCCAGCACCTTTCACATTTATGGCCCTCTGCACGTGAGACACCAATCCAAACCTTGTTGTTCCCATCTACAAGATACTCTCCTGTATATTCAATATTTCTTCCCGCCACATCCTCCAAAGAGGAAAGTACCTCTGCCTGTAGAAAAAACACAGCTCATCAAGTTACATGACCTGTAAGACCAATGTGATAAAATATTAGTGAATCACACTTTCATTTGATTCAAATAAATTTGCATCTAAATTTCACAAATATTTTTCGGATGCTCCGAACATCATTTTTTTTTTTTTTGGAAAACTTACAATAGCCTGGGCACAAATTTTGCTTCGCTTAGACCAAAGTCATGCTTGGTCCAATTAAATTAATTTCTTATTCCTTTACCTAATTACTATAGCAATCATGACAAGATAATTACATCATAATTAAACCACCTCCATTCTGCCTTTGAAGTTGAGAATTCATCCACTGGAGGGTGGAGGTGGTTCAAATTTGAAAATTTCTACCAGCCATTCATTAATCTAGTAATTAAACGAAGGAATTAAAGCAAATAGTCAACGTACGTAAATTATTTATGGCCTGTAGCCCAATAGAAAGTCTCAAATAAACTAAAAAATTTCTAGGTTTCAAACAAAAGAACAAACTAAACCCAATTGGAGCATGTGTGCTAATTGTAATAGCGAAGTCTTTACTTCAGGTTGCTTTGGAACTGAATCGACTCCAGATAAAATACAACATAGGTAAAAAAAAAACGATTCAGCATACCTGTGATGTTATGAATATACGTGGCAATGTGTCTGCATCATTGCTTGCTCCACACATTTTTAGTAATCTAGAAGTCATGCTATCATCAGCAGTATGCAGATAAACTTTTGCCTCCAAACTAGAACCAATCAACTTCCCAGTACGAGCTATCTCCAGTACCTTATTCACCTCAGTTCTCATCTAGCCAGATAGTTCCAATAATATTATCATCATTGAAACTGGTTTACTCACCAATTGGCAATTATCAAAGAATTTTGCTAAAAATGGAATACAGTATCATGTAGGTAATTAAGAAACACCACGAGAAGGTTCAAAGAAGCAAATGAATCCAAAGTTTTAATCCTAGACTACATGTCGAAGTGAAGATTTCATTCACAACCAAGGACATATAAAGAGCAAACAAGAGCCAATATTCTTGCTTAGGATTCTTTCTTATTGTTATGCAACATGATTACCTTTGTTGGGCAATAGGAACGAGTTTTACTGTATGCATACTCACCTGTGTATGTATACTCTACCTTCAGCTCTGATATTCCTCTGTAGGAACTTTCGGTGACAGGGTAGACACATTTCAAATTCTTTTTTTATCTCTAGATTTATCTCAAAAAAAAAATGATTACCTCCAGCAGTCTTTCCCAGAAATCAATGTCTTCAACAGAAAATGAAAGCCATGTTTCATTCAGGACAGGCCACTTCAACTCAAAAACGAATTTGGCAACGGAACCATCTTCATTTACGTACTCAAACGGAAGATTTTGCCACACATCTTCAGCCAAATGAGGCAATATTGGAGCAATTATCCTCACAATCGATAGTAGATGTGCAGCAAGGACAGTTTGACAACTTCTTCTTGTAAAACTTGATGTGCCCCTGGAAAGCTCACAAATCAATTGAGTAGAGGATGGGGGTAACATATTTCAAGACCACTAGAGAAACACTGAGGAAGTCTTAAAAGCTTCAGTCCCAGCACAAAATACAGACAAATATCGTATCCCAGAGCTAGACACAGATTAGTTCGGCCTATGACCTTATAATTTAAATAATCTAGGAAAGAGGGTATTTTGATGATGATAGATATCATTGAAAGAAAAGCAGGTTAGGAGTCCATCAAATGTGTCTGCACAGACATGAACTGCTTTGGGACCAGCAATAAGGTCGTCCTGGCAGATGCAGTGCTAATTACAAGCGTTAAGGGAAAGGAAAACAAAGGAATTTTTAGATAAATCAGCTAAAGTGTATGTTGTGTTGAACAAAAATGAGTAACAAAGATGTCATGATTAAAAGCTAAAGGAGTTTGTTAAGTTTTTGTGGATCTATGTACTTGTTATTAATTTTTCTAATAAATTTAAGTGCCTTTGTAACATAAATAAAATAGAATAGGAAATAACCGTAATAATAATATCAGTATTTATATAGTTTAATAAATATTTGTTTTATATTAAGAAACATTTTTTAATGAAATTTTATTATCATTGTTAAATACCTCAGAGTAGACATTTTTAACATATTAAAGAATATGGACTCATGTTATACTAGATATGAAGTTTATAAACTTGCTAGCTGCAAATACATCAAAATTTACGGCTCTATTTGAGTATGATTTCATAATATTTGCAGCGATCAAATACAATGGTTTGAACCAGCATAAACAAGTAAAACAAGTTTACCGCACCTTCACAGGTAGGATCCTCTACAGAGAGATTGTTAAACGTCATTCCAGAACTCAAATTTTAAATGAAGTAAAACAATCATCTTCTTACAGGAGAAGAATGCAAGATTCACCATTTATATCAATCAAGGATATATGGAGTATGTGAATGCACAAGCATTTTGACCAAATCAAATAAATAGTGTAAAGAGATAAAAAAGGCAATTAATTGGTTGATTCCTACAAATGTAAAGAATCAAAATCATAAGGAATGACAGAACTTACCCGACATATAGCCGATCTTTGGCAACATCGAAATAAAAATTTGATAAATCAACAATTACAAATCTTTGTATCATCTGAAACAAAAAAAGAGGCAATAAAATCTGTAAATGGCAATGAACAAGACAGTCCTCTTCTTCAATAATTCTATTCCTTAATTATACTCGCCTATTTGGTTCTGTTTCCATTCTATAGCTGGCCTTATTCTTTCCCTTGACTACAATACTAGTTTTGATATGTCTTGACTGTAAAATCAGAACAAAATTTTATATTTTTTGACCACCTCCAAAGAATTCTAAGGTAAAAAGGGTGATTCAAACAGGGAAATTAAGTTTCAATTCCACAATTTCTTAATGGCGAAGAACAGGATTACTAACAAGGTACTAAGGTGGTGCTACTCATGTACAGAAATAAAGAAAATAACTATTTAAAAGTCAAAATCCATCTTGAACTTTTAATTCTCATTTTTTGGTTGAAAATGATCATTAACTGAAAGTAAAGGCTCCATCAACTATCGTAAACTTTTTGAAAGGAAGAACCTCTCCTTAAAATTATAATTAAGTGAAGGAATAAGATAGGAGTTGAATGAGAATTGAACTAAATAAGGCCTCAACATAGTGTTAGAAAAAATAATAAAGAAAATACTGCTTGGCATGTTTTTCCTCCTGCCTAGCAGCAACAAATGTGAGGTGACTGCACACTTTCTATAATACTCTTCTTCCTAGAGAAAAGGTGTGCTCCCACAAAACTGGCTGAAGAATAAATTATACTATAGCTACAGGAAATCGGTAAAATAAAGGAAAAAGGCACCTGGAATATTTTGAAGAATTGGTAGTTTTGATAACTCTCTCTTATGTTCTTTACAACATTCTCAAGCTGAAACATTGCATGTTGATCAATCATGGGAAGATCATGGTATGGAACAGCATTTTCTACCTGACAATAGCATAATGTTAATAGTAGCAACAACTTGGATGAACTTCCAAAAGATTATAATGCTATTAACTGCCAAACTAAAAGGCAGAAGCAAAACAACCATGCAGATTAGGAAATGGCAAATGATATAAGCTTTGTCTACAGGAAGCACAAACGATACAGAGACCATATTAGCAAAGAACATGTGACTTTACATCTAAAGTAACTAATGGTTTCGTAAACAAGTTAACACTACAAGAAAGGGTGTAAAACTCCAAAGACAAAGCACTAGGGAACTGAAGCATACTTTCCAATCATGTAGATTTGCTAAAAGATATCTTAATGTTCCTCTCAGCTTCCTATAAATGTCAGACATTTGGCGCAAGACTTGTGGGCCAATCATTACATCCCCTGTATAGTCTACACTAGAAACCCAAAGCCGCAAAACATCAGCTCCATAGCCAGGTGCTTCCTGGCAACAGAAGATAAACACTGATTGATCAAACTAACACAATTACAGAGAAAAAAGATAATGCAAGGCAGAAGAATCAAACTATATCCACCAATAACTAACCTTAGTGTCTTTCCCTCCCTCAATAACATTACGTGGGTCAACGACATTACCCAAAGATTTGCTCATCTTTGAACCTCTTTCATCCAATACAAATCCATGAGTTACAACAGTGGAATATGGAGCCTTCCCTATAAAGTTACGTGAATAAAAATCATATGGGTCTTTCTTAAGTGTAAAAGATGAAATGAAACTTCAATTTCAGCAATCCATAATATCTGGAAAATAACCTGCATATATGATATGTAAACTGATGATAAACAACCCTAGTATAACTGTATTCAGAAGAAAGTACTCAGATAATGCATGCAATTAATATGCTATTTCTGTCTCATTCTGATTTATTTTTAAAAAAAATGTCCCATTCTGATTGCGTTTTGTAAAAGCATCAACCATAGTATTCAAACTTACTAGGTTAATCTTAATTTGCAAACTTTTACCCAGAAAAAGTGAGAATAATAAAATAATCCAGCATTGACCATCAATTGATTAAAAAATTTAGGAATGATTGAAAGTGTGGTGAGAAATTAGAAATAAAAAGATAACCCACCATCGATGAAGTGAATAAGTATCATGGGCAGTCAGAAAAGAATAAGGACAATCACTATGAATTGGTGCATCTAAAGTCAGGTCAAAAAACACTTTCATAATTGCCTCCTGAGATTTACGTTTTCTAATCATGTCTTTTGCTTGTTCAAATATCTCATGTTTGGTTTTGTCACACACAATTCTTAATATTGATAATGTACAACTACACTGAAGAAAGAGAGGCCAGCCTGCAACAGAAAGTCCAGTCAATAATTTCTGCATTGTCAATTCTTCAAGATGATAAAAGTTAATAATTTCTCCACCTCAGAAACCATTTTTCCTATGGTCAAAACTATATTAGTTAACTCAATACCTTTTGTTGCAACACTTGTTAACAATGAACTCTGGAACCACCCCCGATGCTGATCTGTGCCCTCAAGGTACAGATCTGCAGGAAAACTAACACCCTCTCTTGTTCCTAACACAGCAGCCCAAGAAGACCCTGAAAAAGAACATAAGCAACTGAGAAAAACCAGTCATGATAAACATGTGACGAGATCATGGACTGTTTGAACCATTTTAACAAAAAGAGTTATTTGAAAGAAGTTATAGACATGGATGCAGAATAAGAGGACATCAATCATGCCCTATGTGACAAGAATAAATTTAGAAACAAATACTTCCAACAATATATTGTATCGC